GACTCCTATTTGTACTTCATGTAACTCGATCATACGACAGAATACGGTTATTTATCCGAAAAATAAAATTAGAGCAGACAAATCAAGGGCAGACAACTCCAACCCTACTCCATCATCTTTACGAGGGTCATTAAGGCAGTTGGGTCACACAAAGTGATATTGAGGAGGTAGAAAATGATACCGCCTGTCCAATTAGTGCGCACTGAGAAGTTAGATTCGGTCTCAGGGTGTTTGATTTGTGTCTGATTAGTCGTGTTGGAGACGCAGCCTTCAGAATGCCAGGTCGTCAGTTTGAACAGGATAAATATCACAGACAAAACAGCTCTTGCACCAAATGGGAGAAAGTTCTCGCGTGGATCATTTGAAGGGCTTGTTACTTGGACACCGTGTTGTTTGAGAATACTGAAAACGGCGCTTGCTTTATTAAACACATGCAGTTGGAACAAAACCCGTCTCTCAAGTGCCTGATTGCAGGGGCAGGGTACGCTAGTGTAAAATTGGGCCAAGATGCAATCTGCCGGGATAATGCCTCCCGAACGCCGACAAGTTTCTTAATTAAAGTTCAGTCAATAGGAAGGACCCCTAATGGTATTTGGTAACACCACGAGATTGGAACCGATCCCAAGAAGGAACTGTGTCTCCAAATGACCATCCATTCTTTGTCAATTATGTTTCAATATGCCAGTGTCTTCATCTGATTCAAAAGCCAGATGTGTGTAGAGATAAAGATTAAAACCGATGCGAGATCGATAACCGAACGTGTTTTCAGGTCATGATTATCATTAAAAACATAGAATGACGTTGCCAAAGAACAATTTGTGTCAAGTATCTATTGAAACATATTTCTATCCAGAAATAATTATGTATTGTGCAAGCTCATTTGTTTTAAAATAAGTTTTCGCGTAACTGGATACTAGTTACAATTAATATACGCTTATCATAATTGTAATTAAAAGCATCAAATTCCATCTCCATAAAAGATAGCTGCTAAACGTGGAGTTGATCATAGAATTCCGACCTTATCATCAATATTTGTTTGTGAATCACTCTCAAATAATGATGTACCAGGTGTTCTGAAAAGGATACGCGTATCCTGTCCCATTTGTTGTACAGATCACAAACACATGCAAATACAAGTCAATTGTTCACCGAGAAAACACGGGAACATATTGTACAAGTCAAAATAGAGAATTTCTGCGGGCGTCATTTTTTCCATTAGTGAGTCAAATAAGGATTTTCTTGCAAGAATGGCCAGTTAATCTGACTTAAATCTGAGAAATCTGAGAAGTGTTTTAAGTTGGGAATATACTAGAAACTTTGTACGCGTGAAAAAATCCTCCTGAACCAAACATATTATATTTTCTTTGTTTGTGTTTGATTGCGATAGAATAGAAGTGACAATACCCTTTCCACCATGTGATACGATGACAGAGCATGTGTCCATGAATCACTATGAATTACTTCCAACAAATACTTCAATAGGTTAATGTCAATGGGTAACGTCTATCAATCAGTAGTAACCTAGCATCGTCAATGAAATATGTTGTTTAAACAAATACCCTCACAATGCGTTGAAAAGTGAGCATTATTTTCTAAATACCACACATAAGGAAAGGAAATGTCTGTTGCATAGGCCTTTCTTCCATGGCATGCGAAATATAATTTTTATTGGAAGTTGTTACATACAAACATCACTTTGGAAGTGTTTATTCACAGGCCACGAAATGACTAAGATTTTTTAACAAGCTACAGAAACGGTTGAAACAGGTTCATGTAGCAGACCGCATAACTTTTGTCCAGTCCATCAAACCGCATTTGCTAGTTCAGATTGTCAATCAATCAAGCTGCGATTACTCTAATTACACTATGACAGTGGCTCAGGTTACCGAATTGTACGAATGACAACGTCTTCATGGCATTAGCACATAGATCAACACTCCAGCTCAATTAACCGTTTCATGAAGCGTTGGCAGTCAGCTGCATATGCAGCGATGATTTCAGCTTTCGTTCGTTGGTCCTGTTTCGCCAAGCAATCGTAGAGCATAACTGTTACAAATCGGTGTTAATTGTGAAAACATCGATTTCTTAACACAAACTTCTTTTGGAAACCAGAACCCCTTTCAGCATGTGAGGTGCAGGAAAACTTTTGTACCTGTCTGTTTCTCTACAGTAACAGACGTGTCTGAGTACGTAACAATCGATGTCATGTTGACACATGTTATCCAAACTAAAACACCTTCCATTCTAATTCTCAGACAAATCACAAAACATGCACACACATGCACACACAGAGTATCGAACACGGATTCCATGATTCTCAACACGACCAGGGCTCATTTCGAGTACACGTCGTCTTACTTTGGCAGCTATCTGGTCACTGCTCTGTTGACATCATGCCCACTTGGAGGATGTCGACCTCTCCAGACATGATGATGTTGTCCTGGATAATGCTCTGATGTATACACCCGTGCATTAATTAAGCACCACCCTGTTTTGAAAATAAGATGTGATGCTACAGAAATGTTAGGGTATAGCCATCAATTTAATCAACCTATAGTTAAAGAAGCTGTATCAACTGACAGTTTCACAAATACCATGACCTTTTCTATTCTTTATGAAAGAATATGTTGATGATGGGACTGAATTTTTACCCAAACAGCTATTCCTCTCCTGATCAAACGACACAATTAAATTAAGTTTTGACTAAAAGTAACAATTCTGTTATATACCAAGATGACATTTACACCTGTGACTATGACCCATCTGTGGCCCTACTTATCACCTTTCGTGATGAAACAACGATCACAGATCTATTGCTTGGTAATCGATCTAGTGGCACAATGATACGTCGCCTGGCAGATGATCTAGCGCTACACAGCTCGAACGCCAGGGTGACAAACACCTTGATCTTGTAGAGTGTATTATAACGTTTAAGCTGTCTGGTAATGCTATTGATTGTGAGGTAGAAAGGAATCCTTCCATTGGTTGAGATCCATCGATCATTTCAGTGTGATGTAGATTTATGAGACCTACATGAGCATGGTAATTCGTCACATTCCTGTAGGCTGTTTTCACTTGAAATGAATACATGGTTGAAGAGGACATTGATCAAGGTGATGATTATACTTTTCATGCTTCTTCTTCTGAAGATGCTGAAGGTAGAGATGAAGGTAAAGATAATGGTGATGACTGAGACGATAATTCTTGTTGGAGTTCAGAGATAGAATTGCACAAAATATTGAAACATCATGTAAAAAGTTCTTCTCCTGTTTTTTTTTTTTTTTTATATTTTTTTTATTTATTTATTTTTTGTTATGCTTTACATTTCAAGGTCTTCCCTGAGAGTAAGGTCTCCGAATAGCCAGCTTTGTCTTCATCACAAGGCCAGGCGTGACTTCACTGACACACAACACGTATATCACTGTAATGCTGAAGGACATGTCGGGACAACATGTCAACTCGCTACATGTAATGCCAAGAATATTTAGATTCGGCGCCCATGCGTCGAGTAAAAGTTATGAGTAGCACATAACAAGTTGTCGAGAACGGTGAATTCGTGAATGCGTCTTTGACCTGAACTGAATTTCCCTCATAGGCTCTAATTAAAATTAAATATTCTGAGTATCGATTAGATGTTTTCCTACTGTTTCCTGGGAGGGAATCATATCCGGCTTGAGTGATTGTAACAAATATACCGACATATCCAAAAGATGTCAGTCAAATTCATGACAGTTTGTAAAAGTAACGATGAATTGATGATTTTCATTTCGGAGGATGAAATATTTTTGAATATCATTGCGAGATTTTCCCTGGTGATGTAGCTTTTTTCTCTTTTTCGATATATTGTGTATAACCTTTGACCTTCACAGAACACTCAAACTGTCAAACACGAGGAGTTACGCTACATTTATGATTCAGTTACATAATTCATGACTGTTAATTCATTTTAAGTAACTCGCAGCAGAAATTTTATGAAACAGTGGTTTTATATTGGCATTTTTTAAAAAATGACTGACAATACAAACGAACCTGAACACTCATCGGTCCTGGACACACATGACCATGGTCAGTAAACGATCTGCTGGAATAACGTTAGTAATGTCTCAGGCAAAGCACTTTGTCAGACGAATTCATGACCTTTCTGATCACTTGGAAATGTTACGAACAACCGTGAAACTATCTGATTTGAAATTGCTTCAAAACCCGTTCATGACATCCACGATAAGCAAAATCACCCTTTCACTGTGTTCATCTATCATTTAAACTTTAATTAAAGTCTGAAACTAAAGTCCACCATTCAACCAAAATCTTATATGCTTCAGTATCTATCAAAAGTCCTATATCAATGCAGTGTAAACAGTATCCGTCGACAGAGATTCCTTAAAGATCAGTATCTAACACAGACAGGAGGTTGCATTGCTCACTGAGTCTTCGATGACCATTTAGTTTTGGCACTGGCTCGGCTAACCGACGTTAATAACTCTCCAGTATCAGTATCTCTGATCAACTGTCAACGGGGCGACAGTGTGATGTCATCCCATCTAATGAGATATTCGGATTGACACCGACTAGACGCCTTGTGTCCTTGACCTTACCCTGACCGGAATGTGATCGCGTTCCACTAATGCTGGAGCCAATTGACTGACTCCTGATTGTATTATCCAAGTATGTATATTTGAACAGGGATGCTTTCAGCGTGTGAGACATGGACGGGGAATTGATGAGTGTTAATCAACCTTCTGTGTTTTCATTATCCATGCCAGCATAGTGTGCAATCCCTGAGGTCAAGGTCAGAGACGTATTTACAGTAAAACACCGTTGTGTCGAAGTTGAAGTCGCATACGTAATATTTGTCCCAGGAGTGTCCAACAAAGTGGTAAAAATGGCTATTGTGAGACAAAATGGCTGCCTCGAATACATGTACCACAAATAATTGAACAAAAATCATACTTACCATGCATTATATAAGGGCATTAATAAAGGCTATTTTGTATTTACAGACACGGTAGTTGCCCTCCAGTGTTGGCACTGCATCGCGGACAACTGCGACATCAACCCCTCGGAGAACTACAAGGCCACAAAGAAGGTGTGTCAACCCAACCAGTGCTGCCAGGTAACATCATCATCATCATCATCATCATCGTCATGATCATTATCATCATCATCAATAATAAATATTTCCACTTTCAGAGGGGCACACAAATTACTTGATCTAGACTACTACTTTGTGTTGGCTAAGTTGTTAGATCAATGCATTTGTATGCTAACGGTCAGTTGCTGGTTGAAATCCCGATGGGACTAAATCTCCAAGAGTACTAGAATATGTGGCTAATCTGAGAAAGTCAAACCCCAAATATAACATATGTTGCATCATCACCACCGTCTTTATGTAATTAGATGCTCTTCCCAACTGTATGTCAGCCATTATATCCACAGACAACTGCAAGTTAAAATGGGTAACCCTGTGGCCTTGGGTCCAACAATTTGCTGTTCAGAGTTGCGTCCCTTACGGGTGATTACATGTGAATAAAACCCGTGAAAATCCAGGTTGGAATTTGTCTTTAGCAACCCGTTCTTGTCGTAATAGGCAACTAACGGGATCGGGTGGTCAAGCTCGCTGACTAAGTCATCGTATCCCAATTGCGTAGATCTATGTCCATGTTGGTGATCACTGGATTGTCTGGCCCAGACTCGATTAATTACGAACTGACGCATAGCTGGAATATTGCTGAGTGCAAAAAAACACACAAAACAAACAAAAAACAAAACAAAGACGTGAATGAACAAATGACTCAACATAAATAAACCACGAAATAGATCGGGTCTTTTTTTATCAAAGCTCAAGAGTTTACAAGGGTTAATCAATCATTAGAAAATCACCTAGAGTGTTTTAACAGGATCCTCATCTCGCCCGTGGCATATGTGCTATTAATATCACCTGCAGCATGGAACTCAGCTTGATTTATATCAAATAACATTTGATATAGGGTGTCGTATTTTAAGAATGAGGACATTTTTATGGATATAGAGCTTCTTTATTCTGTACAGGCGACGTTTCGACTTAGATTCTAATGTCATTGTCGTATTTCAGTATTCACAAATTGTACTCTACGATGCTTATGAATGAAAGGGTGACTTTGATTTTGACAGAAAATCGGTAGGAAATATTGATTCTCCTGGTGCCAGAATGGACAAATTAAATAACGGAAGTTAAAGTCGGTTAGAAATATTGATGCTTCCGAGGCTAGAATAAACAAATCAAACAGTGGAAGCTAAAACATCCTTTCTGTATTTTCTTGTTTCTTCGCTGCAGACTCCATCGCTGTGACAGGTAACCCATCAAATGAATGTCATGATCGCTACTCGGAATGGAAGATGGTATCCGTTAACATTGAAATTGTTATATTTTGGATGATGAGCTCTTGTCGGTGCGATAATATAACGATTTGACGTTCGCCAACACATTTCCACACTTCCATAGAATGTATTGTTAGGACACTCGTCACAAAAATAAGTTTTACAACATGGCCGCCGTACGCAATCAACGGCTGGAATTACAAAACGTGGAGTGGGTAACTGCAGCCTTACAAACCCCAGAGCGCCACCGACTTACAATAATGTCATGTGACATTTGACTCCCTCTACACGAATAAGGCAATCTGAGATATGTTCCCTTCAGCGTCTAATAGTAACACTGCTAGATGTCTAATCGTACTGTGTGATCTGTCATCGAACACGTAACGGTTGACGTGGGCATACAGACGTCGTTGTGCTTTGCCTGGTGTCGTCACAGTGTCATATGTATTAACCTAACGTTTACAGGTATGATGGTCGGAATCGTCCCATGGATCCTACTTTCTCGCCTTGTTTAATTGCAAATCGGTAAATACTTGAATTGGTATGTGAAATATGTATTGTTATTGATAGCAGGGCAGGACAAGCTCAACCTTCTCATTTGTATCCACCGATCGATTTATAACATTTTCACCAAATGTTGTTTTCTACGCCTCACAGAATCCCATTGCATGGATATTTGAGACTGGATGCATTGCTGCTTAAACAATGGGAGCAGTGTAACGTATCCGCACACATTGTACCCATGTGAGGAATCAAACCCGGGTCTTCGGCGTGATGTGCCACCGCTTTAATCACTGGGCTACCCCACGGTCCTGATCGGTATGAAACACTTGCAATGTGTTTCTTTATTTCATAAAAATGTCATCCAATACAGTCGTAGCGGGAGGTGAGCCAAGTGGCCTGTGTGTTGATCTACTCTCTTTCATGCCAGGTCGGATCCCCCAGGAGTAAATCAGTAAGTCGGTATCACCACCACGTATAAATATGAATCTGTCTGGCATAAAACTCGCCAAAAGAAGCAAATACAGCGTTTGAATCCTTTGTCACATACATTCCAGATTGTTCAAGGCATTTGGTAATTCCTATACTTAAATGTCCCTCATGTAAGTATGTTTCTTCTTCTGAGACAGTCGGAATTGTACGTTGCTTTTAGCGGAGATGTTGTATGACTTCGAAAAAGGTTTTGAGTCTCAATTCAATGTATTCCAAAAGCATGGTATTTGAACATTGTTGAAATTACATGTTCGTCCTGAAACCAAATGAAGTAGCATCGGAACGAATCAAGACAAAAGTATATTATTTGAAATTGGGTTAATAATTTTAAATGAAATTTGAACTGCTTCATTCTAAGAGGACATGGTCTATGAGTTTTAATAGGTACTGCCCAGTATTTATACTATCGCGACGTCTTCCAAGGATGAGCCAATACGACAGTATTCGAGCACTGAGGCGGGAACTCCGAGGTGGCTGTTAGATGAAGTGAAATGCCCATCTAATCACAACAGATTACATGAATATTGTCGATTCCGACCTCAAGAATAATTCCTGTGTGTTCCCCAGATAGATTCAATGTGTTTGTGGGAACAAACGTTTGGCCTACTCAGAAACGATTTGTGGTATGATAAATGTGCAATGTGTGATAAGGGCCGAATTGAACAGTTTGCAAGCACTGGCGAAGCACAATACGAATTGGGCGGCGCAAATATTTGCATTGGTCAGCTTAGTAGAAGCGAGTGGTGCATACCAGGATTTAGCTGGGACATTAATGTTTTTGCATTCATCTAGTTCAAGATTAGCTTAAAGACGCAGTATAAATCGGTCTGCCCTCAAACAGAATGGTACCACGGTGCCGTCGGTCGGTTCTGTTTTGTGAGTCTTGATTAGGTTATCATGCTCACATCATCAATATATCCGACAATGACTTGTCATAAATAATAAAATGTATCTGCATGATGTGATTAGCTACTGCCAGCATCGATATATCATCCTGCGATATCATAACCAAAAGATCATATAAAGACTGACAGAGGTTCTGCATTGCTTTCAGTTGTATTCCAGCAATGTCATGGCGGAAAAATCAGGGTTAGAATTGGTCTTCAGCAACCCATGCTTGTCGTAAGAGGAGACTTACTGGATTAGGTAGTCAGGCTCGATGACTTGGTTGATGCATATCATCGTATCCCACTTGTGTAGATCGATGCTCATAACATTGATTGCTGGATTGTCTGGTCCAGTTTCGATTATTTAAAGACTGCCGCCATATTGCTATATTAATTGCTGGGTACAGCGTTAAACAAAAAAATAAACGAAAGTGACTTATCACAAGAAACAGGACTCACACAGTGTATATCCATATATTTAGGAATCGAACACAGATCTTCGGGTGACAAGATGCCACTTTCTCCTGTCACTGATGTTGATGACCTGGTTCTGGCTATCTATATGTTTGTCTTAGGGTCCATTTTATCATTAATTAATAGGTTAAGGATGATATTGTTTGCAGATAGGACGGGTTTGTTTTCATCCTATGGATACACAGTGTCGAAACTATATAATGAAATGTAAACTGAAAAGAAATAATGAAAATAGTATCTATTTTTGTAGAAACACCTTTCGTTATTTTCAGTTACTCTTACTTCACCAAGTAAACATTCCTGGACGTGTTCAAACGGGCATGACTGATATTTTGGTTATTGTGGGATACTGCAAGATCCTGCAGGCAAACCATGTATCTCCCAAAATAATTAACCACAGAAAGGCGAACTAATCGAATTTATCATACGCTTCTTATGTCTCCGGCATCTTGCTGATCAACATTTACTATGTCCTGGTAGTATTAACTCGTGAATGAATTATAGATAGCAGGGAAACATACAAAGACAATGATGGGTATTGCTCTTATTTTATGATGATATTATAATGTCGGGAGGCTTAAGACGGACAGCGTTTGCTTTGCAATCAAATCCTCTTTTCGATTTTTTTTTCCTTTGTAGAAAGTGCTTTACAGAAGGGAACATGTGGTTTAGAGACTCGTGAGACAGACTACCTGGCTATGTGTACACATTAAAAATAATTTTAAAATAATTCTACATTGGCATTATCAATGCGCAGGAAAATCAATTCTGCTTCAGTTTTCTTTTACAGAGTTGTCAATTTCACTAAGACTACGACGCCATTCTTCTAATAAGGTTATAAAAATTGATGATATTATTCAATAAGGCAACGGATTATATCTTTGAATATTCACGATTGGCGACCTCACTGTCACGTTATGGTAATTAATCTCTAATGACATCAAACTATGTTTCTCACTGAAGGCAAAACAGCTTAATATCGAGGGCACTTTGGGTGATAAGCCCCACAAAAGAAGCATCTCATAATCATTGTTTTTGCAAAAGCTAGTCATTAATCATTATTGCTTGAAGAAGCTATAGTGAATGTGAGATGACTTTGCCCAAATGTCTACGTGCAGTAACATGCTGTAGACCGGATACAATAACTATTCAACTATGTGGCGATATTTTAAAAAAACATCCACTCACTCAATGTCCATGTTTGAAAGAAAATCATGTATGTAAAGTTTCTGCTGGTAGCAGACTGACATCCAGTCAACATTTGCTATATATTGGAGTGTGCTAATTCTTACATGACAATTAACAATGTCAAGATAGTTGAAATCCTGAGCGATTATGGAAGCAGCGTTTGTTGGAAAAATGTAGTGATTATGATGTTTGAGGGGTTTTCCCTACCACAGTA